CCAACTCGGCCCTACGCGCCTCGTTGGCTATCTATCGTCTCATGTCCAACGCGCGCTCGTGGAACAATTGTTAAATATATGTATATATATATATATATATATATATAATATTTTTTTTGGCCTCATCAGTGCAGTGCTGATGCTAGGATGGGGGTGAGCCGATAGGGATCCCCAAACGATCCCACACTTGTGGTATCGTTAAGATATCGTTAAGATACAGGTAAGATACAGGTAAGAAAGGGGAAGGCCTTGGCAAAATTATGGTATTAGAAAAAAGTGATTTGATACATTGCTTCACCTTTATGTTTTCTTATATTACAAATTGCCTTTCGCCATTAAATCTATTTACCTATCTTACAACCTTTTTCTTGAGAAATTTAACTGTCTTAAGGCTCTTGTTTGTTTTCCTAGCCATTCCAAGCTCTGTCAGAAGCATTCAAGAAAGACAAGCAAAAACGTGCCAAATTGTGTAGAATATATGAAGAAACAAATGGTTTCCTTGACCAGCTAAACGAACACACAGCTGTCAAAGTCCTCGAAGAAAGCGTGGATGACTTTAAAACAACTCTGGAGGATAATATGAAGAACATCAAACCGAGAGATCAGTATATTGTCCTGCTTGCAGGTAAGCATTTATCCCTCCCATAAACTGCGATCGCCTCAGATTTCATCAAACTTTGAAAACCAACTAACCAAGATCACGTTTGAAAAACAGGTGAAACCAGCGCGGGAAAAAGTAGCATCATCAATCTCATTCTTGGAGAAGATCTTCTACCTTATAAAACCCTCTGTTCCACTTCAACAATATGTGAGTTGAAATATGGCGAGAAACCTGCTATTCGGGCACACTTTGAAAACGAAGAGAAGAATCCGCCAATTTGCAGGGAGTTTGGAGACCCTTCGCAGAATTTCAAAGAGGAAATAGCAGAATTTACTTCCTCAAGAACTCAAGATGGACGAGAGAGAGCTCCCTGCAAGAAGGTAGAGGTGTTTTGGCCGCATCAATTGCTCAAGGTAACCGAGAAGAGACAATATTATGCCGAAATGCTTGTGTTGAATCACTTCTATTTATTGATCGATTGTTTAACTTTTTTTTTTTAAACCTTTTGGAGCTTCATGATGTTAACCATCTCAGTCGTTTAGAAGGGAGCATGTAAACTACTGAAAACTAAAAGCACTAGAATCAGGCGTTTTACATTCGATGAAAATAGATTTTATCAAGGAGTACCTTGAAAATGTTCAAAGTTTACTCTTTGATTTAGCATATAATAAGGGCGGATATTTTGCACGTTGTGTAGTTTCCAAAACACAATAGGAGATCACAAAAATACAAACGATGAGCAAAATTTGCGCTCGCATCATGTGCGAGACTACCGTATAAGTGATTTTTTATTCAAGTTTGATTTAATTTCTAGTTTTCTGCCGCCTAGTTTTCGACACTCCTCCTACAGCCTTATTTTAGCATCCTGTCGACTGCGTAAGGCATATATAAAAAAGTGAATAAAAAAGACAATTCCATTAGTTTAAAACAAAGTTGTACCATTCCAATATGATACAGTTTTTCGTTACCGATTAATCGGTAGATACAGATCTAGACTTAATAGGGTGTTTCTTCGGTCCAAATAGGAAGGTGTAATGATTGTTGACAGTCCTGGAGTTGGGGAAAGCCAGGCTATGGATGAATGTGTGCATAGTTACCTAGAAAATGCCTTTTGCTTTATGTATGTCATAAAAAGTTCCAATGCCGGAGGTGTTCAGGAGGACAGGGTAGGTTTGAAGGCAGCAGGACGCTTTTCTTTTTCTTCAGACAGAGCTCGACACTAACTTTTGAACGTACTAGCCAGGTGGCTGGTGATATCTTCGATGTTGCAACAATTCCATTTTGTTCAGTAACCAAACTGGCAAGTGGAAATCGAAAACCATCAGTCAAAACTGAATTTCGACTAGTCTGTAGCTAGTGGGCTAACTTCAGTGTCGAGCCCTCTCGGGTCCACCTCTCTATATTTTTAGTTCTTGTATGCTTACCTGACTTTAATGACAATTATTCTACTGTTATCTCAAGCGTTTTCTCTTTATTTCTTTATTATTTTCATGCTTGCTTTGTCCGTCATCCATGACAAGAACGGAGCTAAGAGGCTCATGCATATCCCGTTTCGATAGCATGAAGTGTCTTACTAACCCCCCTTATTACTAACCCCCCCCTTCCCCCCTTAAAAGAACCATCACAAGTTAAGGATGCCCAGCATATCATCGGGCTTCTCTCTTGATACCCTAGTGTCCTTACTACTATTGGCCGGAGTGGAGCAGTGAGACTCTCACGACTAAAACATTACGACCCCAACAGGTCTCGAACGTGAACCTCCGCAACTCGAAGTTTAGCAAGTTTAATGGAAGGATTAAAACTTATATGATCAACCCATTAGGCTCTATAGTATTCTCTTGCTCCCCCCCTTTATTGGCTATAAAAGGGATGTCAATTCTTGGTAGCTCTCCTTTTAATTTACACTCTGGTGGTGGGATTGGCGGAAACTGATCCCCACTCTCTTTCACGTTAAAACCATGTGGCTCCTCCCCCCAGACAAATCCTATATCCCCATACCAAGGCGATATAGAATGACTTGTTCCTAACCTACCGTTCGACCCGTGCGTCTCCCACTTCATTACCTTTATGTGGGTTTGTTATATCTAGCAGCAGACAACCTGGTCCCTGACATGCGGTTTTCAGGACCTCCCCTAAAAAGTAATTAACATTAGGTATCTTTGCCTCCTTACAGTTGTTGTCCTTACTCCAAAAAGTGAAAGCCCATAAGGGGAATGAAAGAATGGATGACAGACTATTCACCAAAAGTGCTTTGTTTGTTTCCAACTTTTGGGATACAATCCCCCCTGAAGAAGTTGATGAGGTAAAGAATTCACAGCTTGAGGCACTGACCAGGAAGATGGGCGAACTGGATGAGTCACAAATCATTTACATGTCGTGCAAGAGAGTTCAGCTCGCACAGTCGTATGGCCTCATCACGGGGGAATTTCATCAGCTCATAAATGGAATTAGCAGTCTTCTAAAGTCCTATATGAATGACAGTCTACAAATCTACTACAAGTGAGCTCAAACATGGTTTATAATGAAATAATCTCTTATTGATGCCCGATTCCATAATCGTACCATCTCACTCTTACAGCTTCTTTCCTTTGTTTTAAAGTGTTTTTCATGACCACAATTAGCAGTAATGTCGCAGTCTGACTAACAAATTTGAGGATTTACCCGCTGCGCCTCGTGAGCTCACAACATTTTGACCACTATGACCAAGCTAAAGCAACTGGGCAATTTGTTTATGCGATGCATGAACCCACTCTATTTCTCTCTTCCTCATCTGATTTAAAAAAAATACAATTCAACGATTCACATATTCACGTCAAGGGACGGGGAGGGGGAAATCTCAAAATAGTTGTTTTTGACACAGAAAGCGGCTTTGTAAAAAAATTGTTCAGGGGCAATAATGATTTATGATGAGCCGATCTTTTTCAAGATCGGTTGTGATAATTAACCGTTTGATGATTTATGGAACAGCATTGAAAGTGTGACTGAACAAAGCTTTTTTGGGAAAATTCTTAGGTGGTTGGACGATTTCCTGTTTTGTGCGTCTGAGAAGGTCAGGATCGCGTTGAATTTGACGACCCTGTCACGCAACGGAATAGAGAAGAAGATGCAAAAAGTGATGGCTAGGATGGCTGAACTGGAAAAATCGCAAGATCAGCTTTTCAACGAGCTCAGTGAATACCAAGCAGAGGTGATCAAAAAAGTTATCAACAATCTTGCCGCTTATTTCAAATCCGAAGAAACTACCAGAAGATTCTGCACATGGTCCTTATCTGACCTGCCTGAGGCTAAAGCAACATGGGAAGAAACGGAAAGTGAAGCATTGAGATGTATCTCTGAAAGAGCCCGTACGTTTGTGCAGAAATGGGAAGAGGACGAAGGTCATTTTGCGAGAACCCAAGGTACGCTTATAAAATATTGCTCTGTGAAATATGACATTATGGAGGAAGAAATCAGATATCTACAAGTAGAAGCAGGAAGACCAGAGCAGGGGAACCCTAGCTGTGAGCCTCCCAAGAGACATACATCACGAAGACGATTCCCAAGAATCCACAGTGGTCTACAAGGCAGCACCCCAATGTGGTTCAGACAAGGTCTGACCTCGGTGGTACTTGACACTCCGTTCATCTATAATTTTCCTGAAAAACTAAAAAGAAACTTTCAACACAAAAAGAAGCTTGAAACATTCAAACGCGCTCCTGATGCCTACATGCAAATGGAATCGATGAAGTGTCTTGGACTCATTGCCAATGAAGAAAGTCTGCTCCCATTCATAAATGATCAGTTGAAGGATGCTGTCCAGTTCTTGAAGAACATCAAAGCCAAGATATCACGACTGAGAGAAGGTGATAAGCTGTTATATAGTAAGCTACGCGAAGCGAACTCCAGAAGCACACTCCAAATAAAAGAAGTCTATGAACCCATTCGTTCGCGTTTAGAAGTCTTAAAGCGTGAAGTAACAGTTTTTGAAGTCAACTCGTTAAGAACATCAGACTTCTCAAGTAAGGAACTACAATGGAACCAAGATGACAAATCTATTGTTGGAAGGGGATCTTTTGCTACAGTGTACAGTGGTGTTCTTTTAAGGCAAGGACAGCCAAAAGTTGAAGTGGCACTAAAAGTCTACAACAACCCTCTCAGAAGCAGCAACATATCACATTTTATTGGGGAAGAGTATTCTTTGAGGTAGGCTTTCTGTACTGTCCAAAATATGACAAAAGAGGTTGTGATATTTTGGACGGACATGATATCTAAATGCATGTTTATGAAAAGGCAACTAACAGCTGAAGGGTAGCAGTGGATAGAATAAGCTGTTAGTGCAACTTTCTAATCAATGTGGTCCACAATGACAAAACAGGTTTGAAAATTTATTCCAGATAAAAAGTTGGTTTTGGGGGTACAGTTACAAAAAAACGCGTGTAAATAAAAGCAAGCTTTATGTTTATTAATACTAATTAAAATATTATGTGCCTTGAATCGTACAATTCTGTTTTTTTCTCTATAAATTAGATACCTAAATCATCCCAACATAATTAAATTTTTTGGAACGCATCTTCACCAATCTTCACCGTCTTGGACAAAAGTGATGATAGTCTTAGAACTCTGCAAATGTTCGCTCAACACTCGAATCATGTCCAAACCTGAAAATGCTCCTGCGCACTGCAAAGACGAAACGGCGAGGGTGAATGTGTTGCTCTGGGCTGAGCAGATTCTTGATGCTTTAAACTACATTCATGATCAAGGTTTCGTCCATCGAGATCTAAAACTGGACAATTTGCTGGTAAGTAAAACTCTTCTTATTTTGACCAAAATGAATGCAACTGCTTTTACCTGATACACAGGGTGATCAAGAAGGACCTTAAACTATCAACCGATGAGTTAGTCAACCTTTCAACGGTTGATTGTTTTGTTTTCCCTTTCTCTGGGTTCTTTCTTGGGAGTTCTCAAACTCGTTAATTATTCATGCAGTCAAAAGCCAATAAATAACCTCCATTTGGGTCACGTGGAGGAATCTTGATACCCAATGAAACACCAGATGAAACACCACCAGGTTTTCATCTGAGATGAAACACGTTTTTCATCTGAGATCAAACATTTGCATTTTAATGAGATTTTAATTGATTACGCAACTCATGGAAACAATGCAATACCACAAACTATTCCGTAAATAGTTTTCGCAGGATATCTCTCGCCGGTCTTCTTGGCCACTTCCCTAACGAATTTGCTTAACCAGTAATTTAGACTCAACGCGTCCATTTCTTCGATACCTGTAGAGAGCGTCGCGACCTTATGTAAGTCATAGTCCTTGAAAAGGCCTCTTGGATCTAAAACGGGCACTTTTATCGTCCGAGCAAAGTGCCATTCACCAAAAATTGACAGGGCCCACTTGTTCTTATACTTTGTTGAAGAGGGAACAGCTTTCTCCACTAACTCTTCTTCTTCAGAAAAGGTTTTCGGCTCTCTAAACCTTGCAGACAACGCCCCTTCTTCACTCATGGTAGGACGCCAACTGCACAAGAACAATTCATCATGCATGTAAACGTGTTTTTTCGGTGAAGGGAAAAAATGTAACACTGCATAATTTATCATTGTTTGCTTTGAGAAAACATGTCACTACATAATTTCTTATTGTTTCATTTGAGAAGACATGTCAAAAACTCGGGCTTCGTGCTTCATCACGGGTTCCAAAAACTTCGAAACAGATGAAAGCACTCGGCCTAAGGCCTCGTGCTTTCATCTGTTTCTCGGAGTTTGGAACCCGTGATGAAGCGCTCGCCCTCGTTTTTGACATATTACTTCTAAAACTCATAAATAGCTCATAACTTTGATAGCCAATAAAAAAGGCTGAATTTGTCACGCGCATGAGTTTTTATACCCAATAAAATTACAGATGAAAACCACACGTGTTTTGGATCACACATCAAAACCACGCATGGTTTTCATCTGTCTTTTCATTGGACATCAAGATTTATGAATCAAAACAAAATAAATTGAACTCAAAAACAATACTCCAGTTTAATTAATCATTATTATTAATCAGCTACATTGTCAGTTTTTGTTCGTTGCCAAAAACTTTTACATCACAATTCATAAACGAAGAAGCGTCAAAAAATGAAAAACCTTCTGAGCTTTTTTCTTCGTATCTGTTACACTTTAATTTCTCTTCCTTATTTTCTGTCTTTGTCTCTGCTCCTAATAAAGCTGATACATGAGAAACTTTTTTCTCACTTGTTTCAGTCCTCATAAGTAAATGATGCATTAGACCCGTGCCCGTTTCTCCATCCAGTCAGTTTCTCTTCTACACCACCACTAAAGAGTTTAGAAACAGAAGTGAAACGCGCAAACAGTGTGCCGTTTTTCTTCTGATTCCCGCAGCCTTGCACAAATTCAGTAAAATAGAATCCAAGGTGTTGACTTTGGCCTGAAATAGAAAGCTTCATATGCATTTCTTTTTAAAAGGGTTTCAACCAATCCGACGTACAATTGATAAAACTGCACTAAACATCGATCATGCTCTTGACCTATCATGGCAAATATGCCTCACTTTTCTTGGCTCATACTTAAGGTGAGTAATACCTCCATGGAAAGTTTTACATAAATTTTCTTCAAAATTAATAACATTTGGCCCTAAAGAACAGTTATTCACACAAATCTTCCTGTGTTACGTTTGCCACCACCCAAGCCAAATATTTAACCAGTTTAGAAATAAATAGTATCGAATAGTTGCTTAGCTCTTCCTCTGCCATTTAATCCTGCACTCCAGAACTTTTCTTCGTCCTCGTCTGTGGCAGCTTCCTTCTCTTCTTTCTTTGTTTGCAAATTCACACCTTGCCGAGTGTTATCCTTCATATCTTGGCATCGAGACAACGACGGAAAATGGCAAATCTGCACTAAAATATAGGAAGATTAAAAAAAGATAGATCTATATTCTAATTGTAGTTTTAAATGAAAATGATATCTTGATATGAACCTAAATTTCGTATCCTCTCTTACCTTTTATTCAAAGGATCGAAAGGATTTAAGGCTTTGCTTCCCACAGTTTCTTCTAAATGCCTTCGGATGCCACAAATAATTCCATGAAGGGTTCTTGCTGGATACTCCTTCCCTTCACTATTCGCAACCTCCTGGACAAATTTACTTCGGCAGTAGTTTAAAGTGTTGGCATCCATATCTGCCAAATCTCTACTCAACGACTGCACAGATCTCCATAATCTTTAAAAGCACTTCAGAATCAAGTACAGTGGCTTTAACTTTTCTATTCATCTACCATTCGTGAAAAATTTTAATCGCCCATTTTGTTTTTTAGGCAGTCGACTTAGGAATGCTTCCTTGCAGCAACTTTGATTCTTCTTCTCCAGTTTTTGGAGAGCGAAAACGGCTTACAGTATTCGCTGCAAAAGAGAGTCTGTCATCTTTACTACCACATGACTTACAATGACCAACAACAAATTTCCCACATTCTGATTATTTTTAAAATACATAATCTCATGAGAAATTAGAGCACTGAAACAATACCCCCTATTTACTAAAGAAGTGTGGATAGTTTTATAAGCCATATCAAAAACTCTTGCTTCGTGTTCGACCGGGGTCTCCAGACACTTCGAAAGAATAAAAGCACTCGGCCTACGGCTTCGTGCTTTCATCTGTTTCTCGGTGTTTGGAAACCCCGGTCGAACACTCGCATTCGTTTTTGATATATTACTTAAAAAATCCATTCCCAGAGAAAAAGTAGGCAGATCTTCATGGGCTTGTTCGCTTGTTGCCATGTCTAGTTTAACCTTTTTGCGGAGGTTTTTCACGTTTTTTAATAAAAACTGCTGAGATCACTCGCGAGAAAAAAAAAATTTCGGGAGGCATTTGTTTGCTGAATTCACCAGCAAGCACAATGGGAAACTGAAGCAAGCTCGCGCAGTTGAATTTGACTGCACGAATTTACAAGCTATGTTATAATTGTACCCGTGTTTGGTGTGAATGCCATGGCTATAACAGAAGGCCAAGTTAACGCTCCTTGAGCGGCTAGTTTTATGTCAACTGCCGGTCACGGTTTTAAAATCGCTAAATGACCGACAGTACGATACTTTTGTTAAATCATGATCTAAGGAATCAAACCGGTCATATCCAAACTATGATATGTCGAATAAGAAGTATAAAGCGATCCAGCAGATTTTTATAGACCACAAGTCTAACTCTTAATATACAACTAATTACATGAAAAATATGAAATTATTGCAAATAAGATTTAAAGGCAACTAGCGCCAGAAAAACTCTAGAAACTGCTATCATTATCAAATATGAAATCGTTTAAAACAAAATTAATTAGTACTAATCAAATTTATATCTTAAGTATTTTTTTACAATGAAAACAATATATCTGTAGCTACTATACCCGACTGAGGCATGGGCAACACCCATTCGTGCACTGCTCATGGATAACGCAGCTCATGGAAGGGGTACACAGAAAAATAATCTTGTGTAAATTGTTATGAGTATTTAATTCTGCAAGCTTCGCAGAGCCAGTTTCTTTTCTTTGGTCGACTTCTTTATTAAAGTGCATGCAAAATGAGTCCAAAGGAGACACCTGTCACAAGCAATTCCGTCTTCACTTTCGTCGTTTATCATTTTTGCGCAAACAGAACAAACATAGTCTACGCGGATCTTCTCCTTTGTTGATTTAAGACCCGACAACCATGCATCTTTTTCAAAGTATTTTTCAACGCGGAGAATGTCCACGGTTTCTTCGATTCCTTAAATTTGAGCAAAATATCAGACTGCCGGTCATTTAGTGATTTGAAAATCTTGACCGGCTGCCGGTCATTTAGCCACAACGAAAGAAAAACCGGCATATACTGCAAAAAATTGTCATTGAAGGACACACTTTCTTTGCAAGACTCACAGCAAAGGATAATTTCGTAATCCACCTTTTTTAAATACACAGTGTTATGCGCAGTCCGTATCTGACCCTCGAGTAGATTTTAAAAGACTCGCCAAACAGAGGCTTTTGTTGAAATACTATTTTAGGCAAGGGTACGAATACGCGGTGATTCGTAATCCGCCATGTTAAAATACACAGCGTCACAAGCAATACGCATTCAGTATATGAATGATATCAGCCTCTAACCCTCAAATGAATTTTAAATTTTGTTTTGCCGTGGGCTGATTTTATTTTGCCCCGAATTATTTTATTTTGCCGTGAGTTATCTTATTTTGCCATGACTTATTTCATTTGGCTGTGAGTTTGACTTGTTTAGCCATGAGTTTATCATAATTTGCCGTGAGTTATTTTATTTTGCCACTTGTTATTATATTTTGCCGTGAGCTGGGTTCGTTTTGACGTGAGTTATTCGGTAATGTCGCATGATGTTTCACTTGAATAAATTGACTCTATTTAGACCTGCACTCATTGGCAATTGCCAAGAATTCCCTCGTGAAGTAATGAATTTTCCCACAGAATGTCAGTTTCATAGCCATTAGCGAAAACGAAATATGACATGCTTGACTTGTAATCCGTTTTTCAAATTCCAGAGGAAAACGAGAAACGAAAATTGGAGTCGAAATTCGTCTTTTTTACAGCGCCGCGAAAAGCGAAAAACGAAACTGAAACTGATTTTACAGTACGAAGACTCCAAAACAACCCACCCATCCCATCAGCATTTGCTTCAGCATGAATTGAACAATTTGTTGAACCCAATTTTCGGTACGTTTTTTTCAACATTGTTGGAAACGTAAAAAATGTCGAAAGCTGTTGAAAGCGTGTTGAATCAAGTTGAAATCGGTTTAAAC